TGTCATTTCAAGAATAAAGTCAACATAACTAGAATAGTTATTATACTACCAAAATAAGGTAATATTATAAAAATAGTCACATAACAAGGTAAGTCATAAGAAAACACTCAAAATAACGAGGATGGTCACAGAATTACAAGATTAAAATAATTACTTTAAAAATAGTCAAAATATGAAAATGTAACAATATTTTGTCAATATTTCGAGAGTGAAGTCACATAGAAATTATATAAAGTTGTAATAGAAATTTATTCTTGAATACTGAAACTTTATTCTTGTAATATTTTTGTTTTTTTTTCTTATCTTGGCACTAATACTGCATCGTAGATATCCGAGTCAGTTTTGTGTTGTTCTGGTTGCAGAAGCCTGCATGTGTACTATAATATAGATGATCATGTCACAGAATCTTTTGCCCAAAATCGTGATCAAAGTATGTACAGTACTCTATAAGATGCCCTAAAAGGCAAAAACAGAAAACGGTTTAGCCACGGCAGTCGATTTTAAAACGTCGTTGAATCACAAAGCAGATACACATGGTTAGCCTCAAAACGAAGTCACATATGAGTTGAGGGAACAAACATATGAGGACTGAATACAAAAAACCTAAATCTTAAGCAGTGGAGCTGAAAAGTGGAACATGTGGCAGCGGGAAACGGCGATAGAAGGTAATCCTACAGTTGCTCACCAGAGAACAACAACAATAGCAGAGATGGGAAGAGCATATATTAGAAAATCTGGCAAAAGCCAAAGGAAATATAAAATCTAAGGTGAGCTAAAGGTCAAGCATGTTTTTTTAATAGCCCTCTATCTGTATCGATTGTCCTGCTAAAAGGAAAGTGTTTTATTGAAAGTGCAGTTCAATATACATCATGGCTGAAATAAGGTGCCATAACACAAGGTCTTACAATAACAGTACAATCCTGACACTAAAGTGAGGTCTACATCCAGCTTGTGTCAATATGTGATTATGGCTTTTTGATACATATTATTGTAGCATCCGGATATGAAGACCTGTACAATAACCACTTTAATATTTACACCTTGCATCTGTGTTTCTCTTCCTATGACAAAAGAAAGAAAGGAAGTAGTTACTGAATAATGGAGACTAACAATTATTGAAATTTTTGCTATGTTTAAACCAATTCTATGGTAGCATTTTGGATGCAGAGTGAAATTAAAGCATTAGCTGCTAACAATGCTAAGTTGGTTTCCATAGCATTACGTACCACAGTACGTTTTAAAGTACATAATAGTTCAACTGTTGAAGCAAGGAAACTAATTTAGGAGTGATTTATCTCCATAAAGTGTTAAAATATGTTCGTCTCAGATAATTTCTTTTTTTTTTTTTAAAAGCTTAGAGTTTGACTCGTAATTTTCTCTCTCAATTTCTTATGAACAACAGTCTAAAGTGGTGGTGTTGTTTAATGTTTAAACCTTTCAAAAAAAAAGGACAATTTTTTTGGTTCGAAAGCAATATAAATATCGCCATAACGGGTTTTATATTTCGTTAAAACGAGAACATTTTTCTTGTTTTAATGAGATCCTGCTCCTGATTTATTATTTTCTTGCTCTGGCAGTTAAACAAATTCACATTAAATGGCTCTTTCATAGTTATTAATAAGACCACACTCCAGATTAAATACTAAATTACTTGCAGCTCAAACCAAAAGTCTTAAAACACTCATTCATCTTGTGAAAACATACACACTACTCAAACCAAAGCAAGAACATTATGTAAGTATTACAGATTTGAAAAAAAAAATCAATTATGACTGATTAAAGCTTTATTCTGTTATAAAAGTTATAGAGCTCTTAAATCTCATTTCCAGAAATGTATAGAAGTGAAACAAGTAAAGGAGGCCACAGATTCTTGGCAGGATTCATCGGTGTGAGAATGTATCCATATTTATTTATGTCGTCAGACCTGCGGTCTAGATACTTAGCCAAGTGTCTGCTGTAAAACAAGCAGAAGGAAGAACTCGACGCCGACGCAGTCACCGCTTATCAAAACGAGAATAACCGGTGAAAAGCATTCAGGGCGCACTGGGGACGGAAAGATCAAGTGAAATAAAGTGTCAGCTCCTCATCACATAGATTGAATTTCTACAAGCAGGTACCATCAGATAAATAAGTTCATTCATCATTTACAGGCCATTATACTTACAAACTAAAACAGAAACACTGAATAATATTGACCTGAGGGTCCTTGATTGTATTGATAAAAGCATTCATTGATAATGATAGAGCAAGGCCTAACGGCTAATTAGCTGCTTCTGAGCATAGAGAATAACCGTACTGTGGTTGCCTGTCACTCATAGATCCATACCATTGTAATGCCTTCTATCTGTTTGTAATGAACTTTTTCTTTTATTTACTGATATCGCTTCATTATTTGTGTCCGTCTTTAAGCCTGAGGGCACGTTAAATAATACAATCGACTGAAATGATTGATGTCAGAGTAACAGTTTACTCTTTGGACACTCTGCTTGCTTTAACAGGGAAGCGTGGCGTGAACTATGGAGGTGAGCTTTACTACGTGCAGAAAATTTCAAACTAACCAGCAACAAACACTCACTACCCAGTGATCATTATAGCCTTTACAAGAATATCGAAGCTATCCGACAGGAATAGTAAACCCTACGACTCTAATCAGCATGCCGATGTCTGCCGCTGCTAAGCTTCAACGTGTGCTTTAATGAATTTTGATTGTGTTCACAAATAGAGTCAGCTCTGAAATTATTGCAGTTTTTTTTTTTTTTTTTTTTTTTTTTTTAGCAAGTTATACGGGGTGCAGCTCTCCTCAGCTGTGCTGCTTTGTAATCTTCTGTGAAGTGAGAAACTTTTAGGACAAAAAGTGGTTTGATCTAGAATGGAGTTGAGGAATGAGCCCTTAAAGGCAAGCCATCAAAACCTAAAAGATCACGTTGTTAGTGCACCCTGTACTGAACTTGCTGCAGGCAGGGCGTGTAGCCGGCTATGGGGTTGATGGTAAACACAGAGATGAGAAGAACAACAAAGCTTCACCGGAACACATTCTGTCGCTTCCGACTTTTTTCTGTTACCTTCAGATAGCTGAGTATTTCATATTTCAGCAACAAAGCAGTTCAAAATGCTTTACATCATAAAAACATCCTACAGTCACCAATTATGTAACAAGCAATGGCCATTACATTTTGTCAAATACACATCAAATGTTGATCAATGCTCCGGTTACTGCTAATCAAAGAAAATTTAAGCCTCAAGTTAAAGGAATTTGGTGTTTTGGCTGTTTTGCAGTTGTTCCAGAGTTTTGGTACATAATCTAAATGCTGATCTCCATGTTTGGTTCTGGATCTCAGGAAGCAGAGCAGAACCAGAAGACCTGACTGGTCTGGAAGGTGGATACAACAAAGTATTAGTCTTTGTTCTTTGGGTTTCAAACTGTCTTTATGTGATTCTGAAGATTCAGGTCCAAGTCCATCACTACACCCCGATTTCTAAACTAATACTAATACAAACTAATATGGGAGTGAACTCCATTTAGTTCTTACGGATTAAACACATCCAGAGTTCTTTTGGAACAGTTTTTGGAACATATTTTTGTGCTCTCATATTTTAAAAGAAAGCAAATTTATTGGAAATTCAGCCAAATCAGAATATGGTTTATGGAACCCAGTGAAACAAGACATAATTGAACACGCAAGATCTATGTGATCATAAGATTAATGTGGTAATTAATGACTGTGGTCATGATTTCATTACAATAAACCCTCCCTCCAAAAAACAGGACAACCAGTTTATTTTGATAGTTCAGGATGTCTGAGTGGTGATCTATGATTTTTATCTCATGTGAACTGAATTAGTTCTTGAGGCTGGACTGATGCAAAAGTTCCCAAAACATGACAATTGTGTTAATTGGTCTCTCTAACTTGTCTTTAGGTATGAGTGTGTATGTACATTGGTGTCTGTGATGCACTGGTGACCTGTACCCCGCCTCTCGCCTCGAAATTGCTGGAGATTAGACGATAGACACATCCTACAACACCATACGTGTCTCTTCTGTAGGAAATCTAACATTTCATGTGACGTTCCGTTTATCGACCTCTTGTATCATATCCAGATGCAGTCTGCTATTAATACTCCTCTTGAGGTGGCACATCCAATCTTTCCTCGTATCAAATTCCCCATTTCCCTCTGCCACTCTTCACCACCTCAGTCTCATTTGGCGCCTTTGTGAAATATATCCATATCCATCTTCCACATGGAATGCCAAATGCTTTAAGCACAGCTCGAGAATGAGCGGCCCCAGAGCAAAGTAGCACTACCACCGACACCACAAGCACACGTCCACGCAGTAGCCAACAATGGTGTAAAGCTAAGATGGAAATGGATTTGCATTTAAATGTGTTCATAAGAACTACTTAAATCAAAGCTGTTTTTCGAAAAAAGAAAAAAAAAACACATAAAACAACTTTTTCTTTCTTTTGAGTACAAAATGCCTATAACACATTGAATGTTTTTATTGATAGTTGCCATGTTTGACTAAATCAGAATCATCCAAATGGCTGTACAGGTATGAGAAGCTTCAGTGCAAGAACTGCTTTTAACTGCATTATTAGGCTGCAAACACATGTACACAGGACAGAAATAAATCGCCCACACTACACGCCCCAAACCATTAGAGGCCCAGGGAACACTGAATCAAGCCATTTATTAAAAATATTGAGCTTTTTTCCCCCTGTAAAACACTGACAAAAAGACCAATTACTGTAAATTCTATATGAACAGGCTTGTCAGTATATCTAGCCTCACAGTGACAAAAAAATGTACTGATAAGAAAAAGCACATGGCGGCGAGATAAGGGCAGCTTTGTGAGTATTTTTTATATATTTTTTATGTTGACAGCTGTTCTCAATGGCAGCACACAAAAAAAGTTGATTTGAGTATGTTTACAAGAAAAAAGAAAAGTTTATTCAAAATTGACATTTGAGTTTGCTCGGAAAGGCTCATCAGAGCCAGACCAAGGTTGCACCAGGAGGAGTTTTATTTGGGGGCCATCTTCCAATTAACCTTATTTTGAATGAAATATTTCATTTTCCTGGATGCTGATGCTTCTGCCGGGAAAAGAAAAGAGCAGATTTTAAACATCTACAGTCAACAAACATTTCATCACAGTTAATGAAAACTACTTCATTCAATTTCATTGCATTTCCATTGAGGCTTCACTAGCACATCTTTTTTTTTTTTAATTACCATTCTTGTGACAAGCGACGTTTTAGAAACAACGCTAATCATACCAGTGTAAACGTAAACCAAAATCGCTTGAAAATAATGCGTCACTCACGTCTTCTAGCGTTTGTGGATCTGGGCTCAGTTTTCGCCTGCACAAAGCACAACAACAATGGCGAACCTCAGTATTCGATCTTTGTTGCTGCACCTCTTTAGATCATTTGCTGTGGTCAGTTCTGGTAAAGTTAGCATGCTAAACTGTGGCTATATTTATGTCACTTATGCTTCATGTTCATGATTATATGTGCACCTCTTTACAAGCGAGTGGTTACAAAAACACGCCTTTGGATCAGAAAGTTCACAAAGATCCACCGCCTCCTACAGGCCTGGTATGCACACTACATTGTTTCCAGGGCTTTTTGAGCTCTCACTTCCACAATTTTTTCCGGGAAGCATTTTTGGAAATGTCGTGTGAACAGGGGCTCAGACATTTTTAGCTGTTTGCAATGAGTGCTGTCAGTATTAAGAGCTAAAGATTTTCTAAGAAGGATACAGTACACATTTAGACAATAATATTATAATCCTAAATTGAGATATTAACTAGAAGTTATGCTATATTTCCCATGTACTAATAGAAACCCGTGTTCATTGACCACTACATGAATCGCTTATGTCACAGTCTAAAATAAACAAGACTTCACAAAAAACATGTTAACTGTTCAAATAAAGAGCTAAAACTAATTTATGACTGCATACTAGTCAACAGCCTGTGCTAGTTTACATTTTCATTGTATCGTTTGCTTGTCTCTGCCAGAACCTCATCAGCTTATTTCAGTGAAGTTTAGAACAGCTTCCATTCACACATCCTTCTGCTTCTTAATGGGAGAGAAAAGTGCTATTAAAACTACATGACCAGTTCTTATTAAACCAAGGCTGGATTTCTAAGCTGAGCATCACTGAACAAAGTGCCTCGTCATGTAAACTACACATGGTGCATACAGCATTACCGTACCTAGGTTATATTTTCCAATGGGAAAGCCTTGGCATTTAAAATGAATCTTTTTGGCTTTGCAGTATAATATGACTCAACAAATACATTCGGGTAAAGAGAAAAAAAAAGCCAAGTTATAAAAGATTTGAACAAGTGACCGTGAGTCTGAATGAATGCAGTACAGTGAAGGTGAAATACTTTATTGTAACGTGTGTGTGGACCCATTCTAATGACGCGTAGGCTCGAACACCGAGGTCCAATTCACACTAGAATGGAAACCCACACAGGAGACTACTTTTAAGATAAAGTTTGAATATTTCAATGGATCTGCTGCACTTGTTCCTGGATGAATACAACCAGCCAAGATTTTCCACACACACGTTTTTCAAAGATCAAGGTTTGGAAGAGCTTTCTAACACTCGAGGGTAATTTTAAATCTTCTGTTTTTATTTCTAAAAATGAAAGGAATAAAGTAAATCAGTGATAGAAAAAAAAAACGTGTAGCTTGACCTGAAGCCTTTCGCTACTGATGAGCAAAAACAAACACAAACAAGACTCAATTAAAAAGTGAGAAACATTTCTAGCGTCTCAGCAGGCAGCACCAAATCAATGTAAAGTAAAAAACTAAAGCAGGCAGCAGTTGGCACAGCTAACTAAAATGCTAACTCTAAAGGATTGATCATACACGTTAGCTACACAAAGCGTTACTCCAACAGGGTATTTTGAGAAGCTAATGCCAAAGTGCTAACTCTAAAAAACTTCCACTGTCGAGCACCAATTTAATTTTTTATTTAAATGCCCTATAATGCCCTTTGAATTAGTATTTATGCTTATATCTTATTCTCTACTGTTTTATTTTGTTTCTATATGTCTCTTGTTTGAAATAAAGTTAGCCAAAGAGAGCGTGTGAGTAGAGGAAACAGAACTGCTCTGTAAAATTAACGTCCAAGTTCTTAATCGATCAACAAACTTCAAGACAGACATCAAACTTCATTCAACTGAAATGTTACAAAACTGTCAAGTAAGTTATTGCCTTAGAACTTACCCAGAACAAATAAATTTAGAGGAAGCTAAGTGCGCTTCAAAGTTAGCAAAGCGCTAAGCAAAAAATTAGCTCCCCTATTAGCAGATTAGCAGACGTGAGCTCACCAAGGCATGAGGCATGTTCATCAGAATCAGGAATCACAGTCTCAGTCATTGTGTTCTCTAATTTAATCCAGTGTTTGTTTAACTGGAAGAAAGTGGTGATTCTTACCTTTAAACACTTTAGAGAACAACTGAGACAACTTCCCCTGCACCGATAACTTCTTTCTATATCCTTTCTGTTGCATTCCCATGGCAATGCCTCTGTTTCCTCACAGAAGTTACATTCAAAGCTCTTCTTTGTTTCGCAACTTTTATCCTCTCTCTTTGTCTCAGAGACTCTTCCCTTTTCTTTATCCTTATTTTGTGGCTTCAACCTGTTTATCCCTGATCCCCAAAAGCCTGAAAAGCAATATTTTAAGACAAATAAGGACCAAGAAGTAACACAGATTGCACAACAGAATATCTTCTTTTCACAGAAAGAGCAGCAAGCAGAAAAAAACAAAAACAAAACAAAAAAATAAAACAATACAAACACAGATGTCTGTTTAATTTATCTTGTGAATGATACACCAACAGTGCCAAAGAATCAACAGTGATAATTGCGGTAATTGGTGCTTTATTCCACCGATTCCACTCATATGAGGAAGAACCCCTGAACACCTAGTTGGGTTTTTTTAGGATTCAGGGCTACAAAATGAAAGTAAAAGTCAAAACCTGATCACTGGACACTCAGAGCAGAAGGTTACAATAGTTTTAGTTTTCCCACTGTGGTTTAGATTTATTTCATTGTGACTGTCTGATTCAGTTAGTTTTAATTACTTTTTAGAGTGTGTTTGCTATTTTTTTATTAGTTAAACATAGTTTGCTTTCAGATTACTTTTTATTAGTTGTGGTAGTAAGTTTTTGTTTTTTATACTTTGGCTCATTTTTAGGTGCAGAATTCAATAAGAACAATGTATTGTGTTGTGATTATGTATACATTTATTGGGCTATGAATATTCAACAAAAGACACCATTTTCAATAAAGGTATTAAAATATTGTTAAACAACTCAATGACTTATGTTTTCTCCAAACTTCTACTTTTGTCGTTGCCATTTTGCAGACTAGCATAATTTGCTGACAGCTGGAAAATAGACACAAAAACTAAGGACATTATATTTAATGTCTGTATGCCTTAGTTTTATAACCACAAGATATAGTTCCAACAAGTTAGTTTTCCCCCATTCATTACAGTTTTTTATTTATTTCAGTTAACAAAAATTTTTTTCTCAGTTTCAGGTTTGGTAAGTTTTAGATACCTCGATTGTATCAAGGTATCTAAAACCTCGATACAATGCTGCATTATTATTGTTATTCACACTGGGAAATTTCTGTCTCACTCTACTATAAAATGAAGACCCAGCAGCTGGGAGAGACGGCACACTCCCCTCCTCACACACATCTGATGGGCTTCATGCTGCAGACGTCAGCACCGTGTCAGAAGGAGAGCAGCTTCCAGGAGCTAAGAGGATTGGGGGGCTAAAGACTAGTGACTGTGAAAGATGCGTGGCCCCCTGATGAGGACTTCAGAAGAAAAGAGAGGACTGAGTCTATGGAGAAGGGGAAAATGAGACAGAACCTGAACTGGGCTTAAGAAGAGGGGTATCGCCCAAAGTCTCCTATGGAATGTCATCCACAGAGCTGGCAGAGTGAGAACTTATCAGCAGGCGAGGCCTCTGCCCCGATTCATTCGCAGAGAAGAGTTATCGACCATTCCAGCCAGTGTTGCCAGAGGATTCTCACCTCGCTTTCATCTCTTTAGGATTTCTAAATGGCTGCAGAGGAGGTGTTTCTCATTCCGTCCTCCGTGACGCTGTGACCGGATAATCACGACATGTCTCACACCACGTTCCTCTGGTGAGCTCCAGTTCCAGGGAATGGGGAGAAAAAAAAGGACGATTTCAAGGCGGTTTCAAAGAAAAAAACTGAGATTAACATCTTTGAAAAATGACGCCTGATGAGAATCTGGTTTTAGTTCCTTTTCGGTGTGAAGTTTAAAGACGTCTGACGGGTCGTGGCTGTTGGCCTGATCCCTGGTTGACTATCTCTGAATTGCTGCATGTGAACCTGCAGATGGGTACTTAGTGCAGCCAAGCACTGAAAGCAGAAAGGAGACAAGGACAGATTTCTTTTTCTGAACAAGAGTGCTGAACCATCCCTTCATGCTACATGCCACTAACAAACTCATTGCTGTGAAAAAAATGGATCTAAACAAAACCTGAAGCATTTTCAAAGCATTATTTTAAAAGTTAAACTCATCAGACTCGTACTTGTAGTTGGTATGCTGTTATTTTAAACCTGTTGCACTCTTAGATAGATATGCATCCAATTTGAATTGACCAATTTAAAAAAAATAAAAGATTTTTACTACGACTTTTTCACATTTTACAATGAAATTCATGGTTTGTTGGGTGGCTCAGTTGGTAGAGCACACGCTCCATGTTCAGAGGTTACGACTAAGCTGCCCATGTGTCTTCCTACTTTTCCTCCATCTTGTTTCCTGTCTATATAGTGTTCAATAAAAACCACTAGTGACAGAAGAGAGAATGCATTGGCTGCTGCAGGCCCGTCTCTGATTGATGAAACCTACTTTATGTGCTTTTCTCAACAATCTTCAAACACGTGAAAGTAGCGACCAGCTAAGGTAAGGTCATTTTATTTATATAGCACATTTTCAGCAACAAGGCATTTCAAAGTGCCTTACATGAATTAGAAGGAAATACAAATAAAACAGCAAGCCAAAGGAAAGACAGAAAAGTAAAAGCATAGAACTACATATTGGCTCCCTATGTTTATTACAAATAAGAATAATTAGTTCATCATTTATAAACTAGTAGGGGTTTCTCTGGATTCTTGTTCCGATAAAACTAAAAGTTGGTTCTCCATGTTTGATTCTGTCAGTAAGTATAAAACTAAATGTTAGATCTAGTTGTTCCAGGTTGAGCTCCAGATGTGTACAATAAAAAACAAAATGTTGGTTCTCCATGTTTGATTCTTGTTCTGGGTTGTTGAGTATATGGTACTTTCTAAGTTCATTCTAGATTTGTAAGCTAAAAGGAGTTTCTCTGGGTCTTGCTCCAATATTGAAAGTATAAAGCTAAATTTTGCCCTAAAGTAATGAGCTAATGTCTATCAAAAGTAATATTTTAACAAGAGCTAATGATCTCAAAGGGAAATTAAATGTCGAAACTCATATCATCTTCAAGTATACTTGAAACAAGACTGAAGAAGCCTCTGACTAAAGTCAATGTTTCTGTATGACATGAGAATCATGACAAGCTAATAGCTCAAAATTCAAACACCAGAGGTTGTATTTCATGGTAGCATGGCCTGGATGACCTGGTGGTGGCAGCAAGTGCTGCTAATCCACCTCTTTTGCTTTTCCATTGAATCTCTGATTTACCATATGATTAGAAAGCCGGGCAGAGAGATATAGTTGTCAGAGATGTGATCAATTGATAAGTTGGGTTGATTTTCCTCCCTCTCTTTCTAATCTTCTCTCAGTTGTAAAAAAGAAAAAAAACAAAAAACCCACCTTGTTACCATGGTTACGCATCATAACAAAGGTCCACAAATAATTTAAAAAGCAAAAATCTTTCCAGTTGCGTAGCATTCAAAAGGAAAGAGAACCATTTTCTGGACATGTGATGCCTTAGCTAAAATGATTCTGAACAAAAGTCTTCAACGTAACAGAGCTACTCCAACAGGTTCTCACCATGAGCAGCGCGGTTCTATTCTAGTCCTCCATATTTCTTTTGGGATCGAACATTTTCTCATTCCAAGAACCCTTTCCATCCAAATCGTTCTACGTACGGCGTGTTCACAGAAATCATTATCTACCACAATAAGACACAACACATGTACAAGACATTATTGCCCAGATGTCTGTCTGCGGAACAGCATTAGACGTCTAATGTAGCTTTCTGCACCACGGCTCAGCATTTTCCCCATTTCCCCCCATCAACTTGCCTCCTCCATATGGTTATATCCATCAACTACCTAGCCATCAATCAGCCTCGCCGTTACTTTTTTCTCTGTCTGCTCGCTAGGTCGAGCTCATAAAACATCCAAGGCATTATTGTACATTAGACAATAAAGACATACTGCAGGGAAAAATCCATTAGGTTCAACAGAGAGAGGTGACATGAATAGAAATGTCTAAAATCCTGACTGAGAGGATCCATCTTGCTCTCTTGGGGAGACATGCAACAGTTCCTGTGCCGTTTTGTCTTCCAACACATGTTGCAGTGACGGTTAACATTCTCAAAGTGTATTAGCATGTGAAGGGGTGTAAATCTGTCCATGTAATAATAAGCTATATTACAATGGGATTGAGTTTTACTTAGGAGCAACGGAGGACAGTTGGTGGAAGAATTCTCCTTTCATCCCATTGGGCACTTTGGACCAGAGCTTGGCACATATACTCATGGGATTTCCATGCCAAGATCTGTCAATGGCTCATGGCCCTCGGTGTGATGTATGCAAGTTTAGGGTTTGAACTGTTGAAATTTCATTATCAGTAACACAAATCCAGATATACTCAGAAGTAATGGTTATATAAAGTTACTTTGTCTTCTTCTGGTATCATTTTCTACTTGAAGAAACTTTAAGATGCACAAAATGCATAACTTACTCTAAAATTCACCTTTCATCATATATTTTGAAACACACATACATTTTTTAGATTTTTGCGCCTTTACAGCCACAAGCAGTTTTCAGAATAGGATTTTTTTGTTTGTTTGTTTGTTTTACCATTGGCCAAAGTATGATACCTGCAAACGCAAGTTCATTATGCTTGATGTAATTACCCAGATCCTACCCTCTGGGCTCCTAGCAGAGCTCTGGACCTTCAGTGGTAAGGAGACTATATAATTTGAAATGGGCTTTTTTAAACTTTACATCATGTTCTAATATTATCCCCATATCTAAAGTGTTGCCTTGATTCTTTCATTAATGTCTGAGAAATCGTTTAATCTCCTGTGTCAACCACTCAGCTGGGCAGAACACCTGGTTGGACCTAGTACCACCTTCTAGCTCTTCATCAGAGCTGCAGTTTCCACCTCACAGAACACCCGTCCCCCACTCAGCTCCTTCAGACTAGCCAGCAGCAATTAGCAAACACCTCCATAGTTGTTTATTTTAACATAAACAATACTGGGAAATTAAACCCTCAAGAGCTCCAGTTTCTAAGAGCATCACTCCAATAAATGTTCAAACCATAGATAATATGCTTTCATGTACCTTGCCCTTTATATTCTGGTTGATCTGGTTTAACCAGAAAATGGCTTTCCATCTTGAAACATCAGAAGTTTTAGAGTTTTAGGGAAATAATTCAATCTCCAAAGGACAACAGGAAAATATGTTCAGTAGCCATCTAACTATAAGGAATTCATATTAAAAAAATCCTTCTCCCACTATTTTTCAGACTTTGTCTCTGTTGTTTATCATACCATCCGAGGCATAGGTTCCCATCAGAGCATCATCTAGGCTACTAATAGGAGCAGTAATCAATTATAAGGGACACAGTGCTCAGAAAGAGCCTCTTGAAATCTAAAAACCTTTGCATGGAGCCAAAATGACACCCTTACCCTGTGTAGACCTTTTTTTTCTCTTAGTTTTTAATCATTTTACTTCACTTTCAGTTTTGAACTTCATGGCTGCCCGTCAACTAATTGGCACATAATGTCCTTTGTGGTGATTCAACCACACCTGAAATGTTGCGTTGCAGCTAAAAGTCATTGAATTCTATATTTTAACAACAATCGAAAAGTAAAAGATGAAAAGCACAGTACTTTCAAAAGTATGCTCCTGATGTACCTCATTAGACGGCCATATTAGAACACAGAGAGCAGCTATGAGTGGTACTTGGCAAGCCGAAGCACAGATAATGAGCAGTTTACTAAAACACTGAAGAAAAAGGTCATTCTATTATTTGGACGGACTTACCGACCTGGATCATCTATTAATTAAATGCAAAATGGATAAATTTGGATTTCGTTGGAATAAATGTGCAGCAGATGTCTGAACAGTTAGTGTGCGTTTCTGATGTCTGTGATTTCTGTAACGAGCCAAAATAAAGCTGACCTTCAAGCTTCTCTTTAAAACCCTGCTGGAATGCGGTAATCAGCCTCGGCTCGGTGCAAAAGATTTGCTTATTCTGAAAGGTGAGAATTTTGAAAAACATGTGAACATGACAGCTTTCTCTGACACCTGCGACAGCTTGTAAAAATATATTTAACTTCAAGACAGTCAAAACGTTCAAGAAAAATCCTTCTGTTATGCTCCAAGATATAATTACGTATTAATCGTTTTTACATTTGTCGGGCAGCCAGTGGCAACTGTTGCTATGTATAATCACAGCACTGAGACAGGAAAGACATTCAGGTGAAACACTGCTGGTAGTTCCATTAGCAACAAATATGATTGAGTTAGGCCATACTTAAGGAAATCTTGATATGCACCCGGGCTACTAAATGCTAAAAGGTGAGAATGGATGACTTAGTCTTCAAATATGCTTACTTCCAAAAACAGGTAAGCAGCCAGTAGGAATGATTAAATTGTGGATTAATTTGGCACATAATCTGTACGAGTCATTTTCCTAAGGATGTAATTACATTTACAACAGGCATAAATGGTTGTGTCATGAAATGACAGATGTGAAAGTTACCAGAAGTGTTTAGGGCACCACGGACGTTGTGAAGGCTCAAGACAAGCAACACCTAAGAACAATCATTGTCTAAAATGCTAGAATACACAGACTGGCATTAACACTAGTGTTTGGGTTGGTGCCACAACCAGAAGAGAGGTAGTCTTATTCTGTTTAGAGAGGAATCAAATTCTGCTTTTCTAATGACTCAAGACGTCCTGTGTGAAGAAACAGTTGTTACCAGAAGTGCTTAGGGCTCCATGGATGTTGTACAGATTCAAGTCTCTCAAGAAAACAATCATTACACTGCATGTTAGATGGTCTATGATGTACCGCACTGACTTAAAGACTAACATGCAAGGCTGGCATTAACCCCAATGTTTCGGTTGGTGCCACAACCAGAAGACACTGACTGATGATGAGTGGTATCCTTATTCTGTTTAGAGAGGAATCTAATTCTGCTTTTCTAATGACTCATGGTGTCATGGGAGCCATAGCGTGCAACTAAAGGTTATATCTTTTAGTGATTCAGGGGGCCAATGTAGCACAGCAGTATGTCAATGAGATCCTGCATCAGCATGTCTTACCCCTCCTGACACAGCACCCTGGCATCTCAAGCAATGTGCTTTTAATGTGTCTATTAATTGCCTTCATCATTTTTTGAGATCCTACTGTGCTAAGACAGGTGACTCCAACTGAACACATGTAGGATCAGCTGAAAGTAGAAGCTACAATAAGGACACAATAGGAAACGTGCAACCTGTTAATATTTAGCCAAACTGGTTTAAGATTACATTGTTATTCTTGTTTCTTTAGGTGTAGAGAGTCAGAGAACGTTCCTGGACATTTTATGGTTAGGTCACAGTTTGTGTCAACTGATTTTCTTTTTGTGACTGTCTGTGTTTTGCGGTTAGATTTATGTACAATTCACTTCTCACTCTATGACTACATAATTTCATTAATAATTCAATGCAAGTCCATTTTAGCTGATGCATATTTGTTTTCTGTAAAATTCTAGGATAGCACTGGTTATGGTGGCAACATGTTAGAATAGTTCTGATTTCATTTATACTCATCATTTTTATGTTGGAGGTATTGTTGTTTTTTTTTTGGACAATTACTCCAACTGGTTTTGTCTTTCTCTTTCTCACTGTTTAATCAATGTCACATGCTGTTTTTATTTTAATTATGTAAAGCAATTTGAAATGCCTTGCTGCTGAAATGTGCTATACAAATAAAATTTGATTGTTTGAAATATTGATTGATTGATTGATTGATTGATTGATTGATTGATTGATTGATTGATTGATTGAATGCTGCGAATCTTGGAGGCATTTTAGCTCTTCCTGTTTTACTTTTGGAGAATTGTTATACTTAACTATGATAACAATAGATACAGGACCACATCCCCAACTCCAACATCTCTATGTCCTGGTTTCTAACTGTATGTTCACGTAAAGAGGAGTGGCAAGAGCAAATGACGTGGATTAACAGGGCTTGTCAACAACTGATGCTGTCATCCATACTGTGAAATATTGTTTATCTCTGGATATTGAGCTGTTCATAAAGCTACAGTGACTTTGGTCAGAGGCTTATTCAGATTCAAGACTGCTAAAAGTCTTGAATCTTATCTACAGCATCAACATCGACTCTGACAATATACTTCAAAAACATTTAATTTCCTTTTGAGAAAATAAATCATCACTGAATTAAATTGGAGTTGAATTGTCTATGTGCTTGTGTGACAGTGTTTCCATAACATGTGAGGAACCTGCCAACCAGGAGACTATATAGCTGCAGGTTCAGCCCTCTCTTCTTGAGCGGTTACTCACCGACGGAAAAAGGAAATACAAAAACAAATTAAACTAAAAGGTCACACACCCTCAGATGACCCTCCCTCCCCCCACTCCACCTTTCAACATCCACCCAGCAAGTTTAATTAACAAATCAGCTGAAAATGCCAAGAAAACCGACATTATGAAAATATCACACTGTTAAGATACTTCTCCTTATCCACTCCTTGCTAAT